CCCCCTTGTGATGCTAAAATTTACTGCCACAGTGAGTTATTAAGGGGATAAACACTTAATCCAATGAATGTTTAGAAGTGGGGTTTGGGGACTAGGAAGAGGAAAGGTCATTAGGTTGGAGCCCCCTAGATTGAAGCTTGGTGGCTTCATAACAGGGTAAGGGACCAGACCAAGGCACACAGACATGCATGTGCTCACTGTCCCTCACCATGCAGTGCCCATGGACTTGGCCTCAGCCAACAAGGAGGACGGTAGCAGTCCAGGGCCCTCACCTTGCCCTTGGTTCATGAACGCTTCTTTTCGTGAATAATTCGGTTTGCAAACAAAAGCAATTGGCAAAATTTTGCCAATTGTTTGCGAACTCCACACAAGTAACTAAGACAGTCACAGCCGTTGTTCCCAAAATTATGGAACAAATTAAGTTCATGAACCAAGGTACTACTGTACCTCCAAAACTGTGAGCCACAGAAAATCCCTTTCCTTCAAAAAGTGGCTGCCACTGTTCTTTTCTACAGTAATGAAAAAGAATGGGTGCACCTTCACATAACTTAGCTCAATCTGTGGCTACTACTTTTGTTCATTTATTTATTGTTGGTCTTTCCCACAAGAAAGCACCAGCATGGAACCCTGTCTGCCTGGCTCATCACCACTGCCAGCAGGCAGCATGGCCTGAGTACAGGGACAACTGCACTCAACCTACCCATGTGCAAAGAAGGAGGGAGAGAAATATTAGGAACTATGAGCACTAAGACCAGTTTCGAAGTTCAGGCAATGCTCCTGAGGCAGGGAGACCAAGCTGCAATCTGTGGTGTAATACCCAGATGAACAGCCAGGAGGAGCAAAGGTAGGCATGACAAATCAGCATAAGCAACAGTGGAGCAGAGCCTTCCACTGAACCACCTGTTCTCAGAAGCGGATGAGGGCCAGTGAGACAGTTCAGCGGACTAAGTGCCTGCTTAGGCAAGTGCAGGGATCCAGGTTTGATCACTGGTACCACATGCTGCACCGGCCCCGCCCCCAGGCATGCTGAGCCAGCCACCAAGACCAGACATGGTGATGTGTGCCTGTAATCCCAGCAGTGAAAACAGGAGGCTGAAAACAGGAGGATCACTATGAGTCCAAGCTGCATAATGAGACCCTGTTTTCAAATACACTACAAAAAAAGTGGATGAATGTAACTGTGGAAGCCATTTGGCAATACCTGGAGATGTTTTTATCAAGACATTGGGCAGAGGATGAGTCCAGGGCTGCTCTGCATCCTGCAGTATATATAGTTGCTCCCTCATAACAAATGCTCACTGGTTCCCAATGTCAGCAGTGCCAAGGTTGTAGCACCATTCAGGAATGGGCTGGTCAGATAACACAAGCTTTCCCCTACTTCATGACTTCTGTTCCATTCATAACCAGAATCTTCTTTTGATTAGAATGTGGACCAGAGTGGCATTTGCTTGCCTTCTGCTGCAGCCTCCAAGAAGGGACTTATTCATCAAGGAGTGTCTAGGACCTATGGTCGCTGCATTAGTTCCTTCCTCTACTGCCTAGCCATCAGGACACAGCATTTTTTCTCTACATTCTAAGACACTGAATCACCCAGCGCACATGCCAGCTACTGAGTAGTGAGTAGATGGCAGAGTGGCCAGAGGGACAGAAGGACAGACAGACCAAGACTGGTCAGCACGACAAATGGTAGACTCCTTAGGGCGCCTGTGCCTTGTGCACTTTCTGCAAAGGCGGGGTTGGCCTGAACATTAGTTCTCTTCCCCAGCGAGCTCTGTGATAGGACTGTCACAGAGAATGCCCAGAGAGGCCATGCTCCTGGGCACCACAGCCTTAGCAGCTAGCCTGAAGGAGGGTTGGACTGGAAGCCTGGGGGACAAGGCCCCACTGTCTAGAAGCAGCAGCACACCAGTGGGCTGAGCCTGCTCCTGACAATGAGACCCATATTAGCTCCAAAACATCTCAGAACCTAGTAAATAGTGTATCTTCAGCTAAAAGTTTCTTGCTGTAAAATAGACATGCTTATATTTTCCCCTGACAAACAATTCAATATCTGAAATGTGCAAATTGTGCAACTCTGAATAGGAAAATAGAAGGTCATTTTTTGCTTGTTGTAAAAGATCCAATAGAAATAGCTATGCTTCTAAAGAGTAGATCTAAAACACAAAGCCATCTGTCACATCTCAAATTTCAATATTTCGTCTTCTGTGCAGTGGGCACAGGCCTGCTCACATTGCTACTAACAATACTAAAAAGGGCCCGTGGAAATAAGAAACATCTAGAAATGGATCCCATGTGTGCGAGTTCAATTCATGTCTAACTTCTCATAGAAATATTCAGTAGGTAGAATAACAAGAAAAACAAAAAGCCAGAAAAGGCACCCAAGCAAGACAGGACAATCCTCCTTGTCTCATGCATGGGGCTTCCAGCTAATAGAGTCCTTCTGTGTACAGAGCCACAGCTGCAAAAGTAGATAGATTGTCTCATTAGAAACTGAAGTACTTCCCTGGCGTGATTCCGTCCTGTGCGTGTGTCCTGTGGAGCAGTACTCACTCATTTCTGTCCACGTTCTCTCCCACCTAAGTGGGTGCCATCACTCCATGAAAGATTCAATGGATATGGACATGAGCCCCCTGAGGCCCCAGAACTATCTCTTCGGTTGTGAACTAAAGGCTAACAAAGATTACCGCTTCAAGGTGGATAACACTGAAAATGAGCACCAGGTGTCATGAAGAACTGGTGCAAAGGATGAGCTGCACATTGTTGAGGCAGAGGTTATGAATTATGAGGGCAGTCCAATTAAAGTAACACTGGCAACTTTGACAATGTCTGCACAGCCAACGGTTTCCTTTGGGGGCTTTGAAATTACACCACCTGCTGTCTTAAGGTTGAAGTGTGGTTCAGGGCCTGTGCATATTAGTGGACAGCATTTAGTAGCTGTGGAAGAAGATGCAGAGGAAGAAGATGTAAAACTCCTCAGTATATCTGGAAAGTGATCTGCCCCTGGAGGTGGCAGCAAGGTGCCACAGAAAAAAGCAAAACTCGCTGTTGATAAAGATGACAAGGACGAGGAGGAGGAGGAAGAGGAGGAGGAGGAAGAGGAAGAGGAGGAGGAGGATGAAGAAACTGGAGAAAAGCTCCAGTGAAGAAATCAATACGAGATACTCCAGCCAGAAGTGCACAAAAATCAAACCAGAATGGAAAAGACTCCAAACCATCAACACCAAGATCAAAAGGGCAGGAATCTTTGAAGACACAGGAAAAGACTCCTGAAACACCCAATGGACCTAGTTCTATAGAAGACATTAAAGCAAAAATGCAAGCAAGTATAGAAAAAGGTGATTCTCTTCCCAAAGTAGAAGCCAAATTCATCAGTTATGTGAAGAATTGCTTCCAGAAGACTGACCAGGAGGCTATTCAAGATCTCTGGCAGTGGAGGAGGTCTCCTTAAGAAAACTGTTCAAACAGTTTGTTAAAGTTTTCCGTCGTCTTTCATTGTAACAGTTGCTATCTGGCTATCCTTTTTATAATGCAAAGTGAGAACTTTCCCTACCGTGTTTGATAAATGTTGTCCAGGTCCCATTGCCAAGAATGTGTTGTCTGAAATGCCTGTTTAGTTTTTAAAGATAGAACTCCACCCTTTACTTGGTTTTAAGTATGTATGGAATGTTATAAGACATAGTAGTAGTGGTGGTCAGATATGCAGATGGTAGGGAGACAAACATACATATGAAATAAACTCAGTATTTTAATAAAGTAAAAAAAAAAGAAACTGAAGTATATTTGCTACAATTCTAAGCAAATCTCCAAACTGTCAAGGTTGGAAAGTACTGGTACATCCAAGGCTCAATTTGGATATTAATTTTCTTCCAAATTTCATTGTTAAGATAATATGCTCAGAATTTTAAGCATAATTTTATGTCCCAAGCCAGTCCACAAAAGCTGAATGCGTTTGTGATGTACCTGATACAGTACCTACTTATAGTAAAAGTGATAAAAATCAATGTATGGAGATTATCTTTAAAACATATTGAAAGAACTTCTTAACTAGGTAGGACCTGAGCTCCAAGCCATGAGCAGGGCCTTAGACCTCCGAATACCCAAGAAATGAGCACAGTCGTGTCCTAAAAAATAGACAGGGAAAGACTGAACACAGAACCCCACGGAGATTGGGAAAAAAAGTGGTCTAGCCTTTCTCTGCCAGAGGAGGAGGGCCTGGAACCTACGCGCACATACCCTGACACAGAAGCACTACCTGCTGCAGCCAGAGGGCACAAGGCCTACATGTGAATGACAGCCACCCTGCCGCCTACAGAAGCTACAAAATGAGCAGCATTAGCAGACAGATGTGCCAACTACCGCTACAGCAGTGGCAGGGAAGAGAGAGCCAGCAATTCCCAGCATGCACTACAGCAATGTGGACAGCAAGGCCGGGAGCAGGCATTCCTACCACAGCCAAAAGCTGGTGAAAGGGGGTGTACAAGAGCTATGCTCCCTCTTAACAGTTATGGCTAGATCAAAAAGGGACTTCCTCAGGCCGGGGAGATGGCTCAGTACAATAAGCACTTCCCTGGCAAGTCCAAGGGCCTGAGTTCAATCCCTGGTTCCACAAAAAAAAAAAAAAAAAAGATTTCCTGAAATCTACCAAAATGAAAACTGTGATAACTGATAAGAACATAATCTAACTTTTAGCACCTTAAGAACAGACAAGGAATAAGAAAACAAAGACTGTGGGGAATGCCTGATCCAGTACAGCATATTCACACCTTTACAGAAGAAAATATGCTTAATTTCTGAACATTACATTACCTGGGCCAAACCTAAACACAACAAAGATACAAACTATTAAAATCCATTGGGTTTTTGTTTTTGCTGTTGTAGTGCTAGGGATCAAACCCAAGACTTTGCATAGACACTCTAAGCCAGGGGTCTACCACTGAGCTACACCCCTAGATCTGGTATCAGTTTTGGAAGCTGAGGTTTATCATTTATCCACTTTGTACCTTCTTTAATCCTCCAAATACAGCGTCTGTCTCCAGCTCAAATTCTTGGTCCAGTTCTTCTTCATGTTCTAACAAGAAAAACAGTCTCTATTAGTCACAAATTTAAGTAAGATCCGGTTGATTATATAGCGGAAGCATTAAAAGAAATCTGAACACAACCTGGAAAAAGCAGACTCGACTAAGTGTAGGCAGGAAACTTGTCATACTCTTTGACCTCTTTCCAAGCTTTCTGTGACCTAAGTTCCTGAAAATACACAAAGGGGCTCAGAAAAACAACCCTGTCAACATGTAATAAGGGTCACAAAAAGAGGGGATCAAGGCAGGAAAGCTCCAACACAGAACCACTAAGAGGAACTAGTAACAAATTAGAGATTGTTACACAGACCACACTATAAAATATAGTAACTGCGACTGCATTATACAACAGAATACAGACATAAGAAGAAATTAGAATCATTAGGGTAATATAGCATTTATAAGTAAACAAACAACGGGTTCAAAACAAAAAATACAATAAAACCTTCAAACATTTCTTAAGGGTGTACCTAACCAGCCCACTGTGAGCCACTAGGAACAAAGAGAACAAGGCAGCATGGCTTCTACTGGACGTGGGGGAAGAGATACAAGTCCAGGAAACTACAATCGGGCTCAGGAGTCCCTTGATATGGGAAAAAGGCATACAATAGAAGTTAATGTTCAGCTGTGCGGTTCGACTAGGTAGGTGAGTAGGCATGGGTGACGCTCAAAACTATGCAAAACTGGAGATAAAGGCACAGTAGCAGGATACTGACAAAGCCAGCAGGATGGCTGAGAGCACCTCAAAAGGGACAAAGTACATGGATTAGCAAAGGGAAAGGCTGATAAAGGTCACTCACAGGAGTGCATTCATAGTAGGATGCTGAAAAAGAACTACCCAGAAAGCAAGCAGGGGCAAATGTTTCCCTGAACCATGAGCATCAAATAATGCTGGTTTCAAAGGACGCTCAGGGGGAAGTGACACACAAGCAGTGTACATCAGAGGGTCTCACCGGCACCTGTTCCAGCCCCCAGCAATACTGCTCCTGGGAAGAAGAGGATGGGAAGGGACCGCACCACGGCCCAGCACCCACAGCACAACCCAGGAGCTCCAGCCACTGCACTGCTGTGCCCCACAGGAAGGACTCTGACTGCAGCAGGGCACTGGTCCTCCCCGTTACAGCTGCACACAGGCCACCTTGTCTATGTGGTGTGCACGTGTGTGCGCGCACATGTGCTGCCTTTTTCACAGACCTAAGTCCCCAGAGCCAGTGTGCAGACAAATGACACGTTCCCGTAGCCTCCAGATTCATTGGTGGGAAGGTAGAAAAGCTCTACCACCGCCTCCTTGTTCTGGCCTCCCTCCTGATCCCACAGGGTACAACCTCCAAAGACCCTGAAATTATGCGTTAGGGAAACCAAGCAAAACTTTGAGCTTGCTTTTCTTCTTTGTCAGAATGTATTCATAACCAGTGAAGCTGCCACGCTAAGCTAAGCTGGGGCTCCTGAAACTAGAACATATCTCCCCCTAGTGGGAAAAATTTACTTGCTGCCTCTTTACAACTTCCAAGACAGGAAACCCTCAGCCAGGAGGGTCCAGAACCCCAACACAGTACAGCACCATTGTCCTTCACCTAAAAGGAAAAATTCCTGTATGCAGACAGCAAGAGGAGGATGAAAGCAACCTAGCACCGTCCTGTGGAAATGCGCTAGACACCATGTTTATAATTTTAAAGTTTCTAGCAAGAAGAAAGTAAGAAAAAAACAGGTGAAATTGATTTTATTCTTTTCAAGTATCCAAAATGTTATTCCAATATGGAACTGGCAACACACATTAATGAGTTATTGCTTCTGCCTTTTCCATGTGAACGCTTCACAATCCAATGCACAGGGCGTATGGTAGCATATTTCGGTTGGGTCTGGCCTCGCTTCACGTGCTCACTGCTGGTACTGGTCAGCATCACTCTAGACCAAAAATCCTCTCTCTTGTCTTTTATTACTTTGTCTGATTGATTTCTTGACACCAACAATAGCTATATGTATGTTATGGTTTGTGTCTATTTGTCCCCCCAAAGTCCCATGTAAGTTATGGGGCAGACACCGGCTGGAAGAGTCACAAGTGGCTTGAGGGGTGGGACCAGAGAGACGCGAAGCATTAAACTGGCTAGTCTGTGCTTTCTCAGAGATGTGGAGAGGGTCATCCTGGACACGGCAGCGCCCCAGCCTCTCCTACAGTGTGTTGAAACTTCCATTAACTGTGAGCTAAATAAACCTTTCCTTCCCTCATTTTGAATCCTGGGTATTTGTCCCATCAATGAGAGAAGAGTAACTAATGCAATGTATGTCATCAATTTTAAATTACAACCTAACTCCATCTATGACTGGTTTGGGAGTCACTGTTTTCAGACTGTTTTAAATTAGCTGAAAATCCACAACCATACAATGTATGGTCAACTGATCTAAGAACAGATCAGTTCTGTAGCCACCAAGATCCTCCCTTGTGAGGCCATAGCCCTCAGAGCCTCTCTGTTGATTCTTCTCTGCCCTCTGCCTCTGTCCTCACCTGTGGGCCTGCTGTTTTCATCCTAATTCAAATGCAGTCAAACCAGAGGCGAGGCAAGCTGCCAAGCCCCAGAACACCACACAGGGTGGACTGGAGGGGGCAAGCTCCTCCTCCTCCTCCTCCTCCTCCTCTCACCCAGATGCAGCAGCCCAAAATGTATCACACCAAGAAGAGACCTGCCTGAGTGCACAGAAATGAACCACTACCACTGATGAGCCCTGATTACTAGTCCGAGGTTGATTCTTCCTCACCAACAAAAGGGTACATCAAACACCCATGCTACCTACTGAGCAGGAGGATTTGCATTTTAATCCCTGCCAGTGTGATGGGAAACTATTTGTTTAAAACTGCCAAGTAATCTAGGGCCTTCACCCTCAACATTTTGATGGGAAATTAAGTCTGGGGAGGGGGTAATTAGAAGGCATTAATCAGGAAGCACACGCACACACACAAACACACACACACACACACACACACACCCCTAGTTTGATCAGAGCCACTGTCAGGGAGGGGTGCACCCAATCATTGTGTACATGTCCTGCTGTTTCTATGCATTTGAAAAATTTCAATCAGCTCCTACTGTTCTTTATTTCCTTAGGAAGCCAGTGGATACAGCACACTGTGGCAACAAATGAGACTGGGGAAGGGGAGCAGAAAAGATACATTTCTGAGGATAAGTGAATTTGATAGTAAGTAACTCTCAAATATTCATAAACAGATTACCGTTCAGAAGAGAAATGATAAGGTACTGGCTTTCTGTGACACAGGACTGTCTCTCTCCCAATTCTAACTCAGAGCATGAACATGTGATTTAGAAATAACCCAAGCAAAAGCAAATCACGTATGCAAATAGGACACAAAGCAGCAAGCTGCACAAATGGCTGGCAAACCTTCCAAACAGGGATGTTCATCTGCTGCTCACCAAAGGAACTCTTCAGTCTCTAGAACAGGCCTCCAAGTGTGCCATGTGTGTGGGAACCCTTCCTGTTCCTGGAGAGGCAGACAGAAACCCTCCAGCCAAGAGAGCCACGAGACAGCTCCGAGCATATCCCACATGTGGCCCAGCACAGAGCAGCGGACTGAGCCGAAGGGAACAGAGTGAGGAGCAGGTCTCCTGAGGGTTTGCTCTCCAACGCCTTCCAGCCCAGGTCCTGCTCCAAGGCCCTCAGGAGAGGTTGATTACAATTAGGAAGTAGTCTCTGGAAGCCAGCACTCCCACACACAGGAGCTAAAGCTTCTGTCTTCCACCTTTCCTTAGGGTCATGGCTGACAGTCCCATAATAAAACTCATGACTGGGCTGGTGAGATGGCTTGGTGGTCTAAAGCACCTACTTAGAACAAGCTTAGCAAAGCACAGGGAC